ACTCCCAACGCCCCCCAAATAAGCTGTACTTTCGGGTCGGTAAAACCCGGGCCATGAACTTACCCATGGGCAAAACCGCTATTTGCATTAATATGGCTGATATAGTAAGTGGTTGTGTTCTATAGATAAAAAATGTGTTTAAAAATATGAGTAATACGCACGATATCATACCCAAGAACCATGCCCGAAATGTTAACACCGGAAGTGTCGGGTCATCGGTTTCGGGTACCACTAACGCAACCTCTTCCACCGGACACCTCTCGTGTTCCTCCTCCTCTTCTTCCATCCTCTCTCCACCCACTTTGCTCGCCATTTCTCTCTCTATGTTGAGAATTGTTGGTGGTTTAGTAAATATGACAATGTCATATGATATGAATGTATAAATACAAGTCCTAAATTACACCATTATTTTTTGTGAAATGACGTTGTTGTCCTTAATAAGGAATGACGGAATTGCCCTTGTAACGGAATAGGAATGGGTGGGTGGGTGGCGCCATCAAACTGCTGAAAAGTGGAAGAAAACTTTAGGGAGTAAAAAGAGAGCATGAGAATATCACGAGCTGTGTGTTGTACTCCTTGTTCTGACACACTTACGTGCCCTCTCCAAAATTGCCACGCTGGATGTCTACGTGGATTTCGTACTTGTGGGACCCGTCTTTTTGTCCACGTAGGATAGTGGACGACTCTGCTTGTGTTAGCCTTGTGCTTTGGTTTTGTTTCCTCGTTCCTGGTTTCTTTTGATTTTGCTCCATTATTAGAATGTGATTTCCTTAATTCTTGCTATCTCATAGATACGCTCATTACAACCAATGCTTTTACAAAGTTTCTAATTATATTTAATACAAGTGATAATACTTTTTGAAAAAGCTGAGTCTTTCACAGTTTCACCCCTAATCCAACCCAGCCTAGAAAAAGAACGGGTTTAGACAAATCTTAAAACGTATTTCTAATTCTAATTATAGTCTAGGCTCTGCCAAAAAAAGCCCAACAGTAATTTGTAGGTTTTGTTACACAAAAGTTAAGCTCAACTCAATTTTTTTATCATCTCTATCTTAAGTTCAATTTCAAAATGCATTTTTTTTTAATGACTAGGGATTCTAACGGTAAGCCCTTTAAGAAAATTATTACCGGTGGCCTTTATGCCCTATTCTTGTTCGCATGATATTTTATTATAGCTATTTGCATATAGGCGATGAATGTATTGGATATTGTGTAACTGTGCAATGTTCGAAACTTTAGTAGAGCTACTTTGATTTAGCGGGAGAATGATAAAAATATCGAGTTCTAGAAATAAAAGTCCTTTGTGGAAATAAATTGGGGAAGATATTTTGTTTAACTTTTTATATATATAGGGATTGTTTCTTTAACTTTCTTTGAAATAATTAGAGATAGATTATCGATCAATGCATTTATTGTGTTCATCTCCTTGAACTTAACTCCACATCACAGCTTTCCACCATATCATTCTAATCAACTATTATTACGGACTTCTTACAGCTAGTATGTTTATAACTTTCCACCATATCATTCTAATCAACTACGAAGTATTATTATTCCAAACTTCTTACAACTACTCGTAGTATGTTTAACAGTGTATTAAGTACGGAGTATATGAGTATATCCTAGCATATGTACGTTCTATCATTTTGGTAGCCCCAGTTGGGTTACAAAACCACAAGGCCTTGTTCATTTCACTTAACAAAAAATAATACGAAATATTAAGTAAAAGTAATTTCAGTTTAGCAAAAAGAATTTCAATTTAGTAAGAATAATTTCAATTCAATAAAATAAGTTTAGTTTTGTAAAAATCAATAATTTTAAAAAAGAAATATAATAGAAAATTATTAAAAATAATTTCAATTCAACAAATATAATTTCAGTTTAATAAAAATAAGTTCAGTTCAGCGAAAATAATTTCAGTTCAGTAAAAATAATTTCAATTAAACAAAAAGAAGATGAAGTGAACAGGGCCTAAGTATATTCTAGCATATGTTATACTACTTCAATACAATAAATGTTGTTACTCAGTCCACCTCTAGCCATGAACTTCGTATTATATTTCATTTGGCCGATACATACATATACCTTATATAGTTATACATTTTTGACCAAGGAAATGACAATATAGTTTATGCTTTGTATATAGTTCAAATGTTCAATGTTTAAAAGGGAGTTTTCAAAAACAATCACTCCTACTTATGCCTACAATTCATGATATTGAGTACATTAAGTTGCTCGTAAAATCACTCCTACTTTGACATACACATAAAGTAAGAAACATTATTTTGATAAAATGAGCTCAAACCATGAAACCAATTATGAATAATGATGGATTGGAGACAATAATGAAATTGATTATAAACCAACCAAGTTTCATAATGGAAATAGTGGGTATGTATGTAGGGGTTCTGTTTGAACATTATGGCACATATCATAGACCATGCACGGTCCAATTCTACGCCTAGATTTTCTTTTTACAAAATAAAAAATTTAATTTGTCCACATGATACCTTCGATGGGCCACGTCCCACGGGGAACGAATGTCATATTTGGTTCTAGAAATAAAGGAGCCGTACGATGTGGTTTGAATATTCGCCACTTCCAATGGCAAAGCTTACTTGATTACAAAAGAGCATATAAATATTAAATTATTAATGTATGAAATGATTGCTATTTACATGTAACATTGTACCCAATGCGCTCGTCATCAAACTCTATCACTACGACGCATATTTCAGATCTTGTTTATCCTAAATAATTCTAGATTCGTTAACTTTTATCTAGCCGAGTCGATAATGGTTTATCGTCTAACTAATAAGTACCTGCATATATAGTCAGCGTAGATTAATATCTTACCTTTCCCTACATTGGCTGTTCTTTGATATCCATGAGGTAACCTATATTTGGTGTGTACACTAACTCAATTGAGTTTGTACTGTTGTAGCCTCATCTGCCTTCGCTTGCTAATACTTACCTTATCCTATAATCATAAAAAATTTCAAATCGAACAGTTGATTACCAAACAATATTCTCATTTGTTAATCATATAGGAAAGGAAAAGGGAGAAATATGAATTCTGGAAGGAGTAGGCCTTGCACAATTGCCCATCATCTATTTCAACAACAAAGATATTATTTAACTTAATGTAAGCGTAGTTCTAAGGGTCAAGATTGTGAAATTTCTAAACATAATTATCTAATAATTAATTAAACCACATGCAACGTATATTTTAGAATTGGGCAGACTAGCCAAAATAAACCTTAATTAATTTCGTACCCTCTCCCTATTTTCATATGTTAACAAAGGAATTTGGATTCATCATCTTGTCTCTCATGTCCTTCACTACAAATCCTTCACTGTAAAAAAGCCTTATCAAATTATTATGCAGTCCAAGTAATACAGGACGTACTCGTAAAGTCGTAATCTTCGTTAATTCGTATTAAAACAAAGGGGAAGATAGTGAGGAATGGTTTCATTGTACTCCAATGTAGGAAGATAAATGCTAGCTAGGTGAAGGAAATACGGATTACAAGTACATAATAACGACTCATAGATGTTGGTTGTTTGGGTGTTATTTGTCGTTAGAGAAATGAGTCTTCTGTACGACAAAGTTACAGGATGAAGGGAGGACCACAATGCCATAATATTCATCCATCAGATTCTCAAGATGAATTTTGAGTGGACGATCTTATGCATAATCTATAATCTCATGTTCCATCTCTTTAGTTGACAATTTCAAAACCCACTTGTGTTATTTGGCACCAATATATCGATCAAGTTTTTTTTTTTTTTTTTAACCATTTACGGACCACCGAAGGAATTTTATAAGATAAAATTATCATGGTACTTCCTCTAATTCATACCAGATTAATTGACATGTATTAACTTTTGACTTTATTCACAAAGTGTTTTGGCTAATATGTGTGATTTATAGATAAAAAAAATATAATAATAGTGATGTAAAGACTTACCCCTCTCAATGTAAACTTTCATTATATTATTAATAGATATACTTGCTTACAATTGAATTGTGTATTGACAAAGGTAATAATAAAACATATGGGCTAATTTGAAACAGCGAAAGTAAGGAAGAAATTGTATGGCCTATGGTCTAAGGTGTGTAAGTACGAGAGTAGGTTTTATGGGCTATGGTGTTTTGGTGTATGGCTCCCTTGCCAATTGCGATTGTAGTCCAACTCCTGGACAGTAGGATTTAAAAGGAAATCCGGAAAAGTGTGGGTAGGCCAGCTCTACTGGCCCAAATAATTTTTCATGTATAAGCCCATTCTATTGAAGGAAAACTATTCCTTAAACAAAGCAATTTTCCGCATATTTGATAACCTTTTCCTAGAGATGATCCATTCTTCTTTAACGAAAAAAAAAAAAAAAAAAGCTCTTCTCATTTTGCTGCTTGTAATTGGAAAAGAAAGACGGATATCATTTGGGCCATGTCGGACCATGTTTCATGTTAATCCTGCGTATGCCATGCTACAATATTCAAAGCGAAGAGCCCAAACGCATCTCGTGCCTACATGCCCATCGTGTAAGATTGTGTCGTGCTTACATGATCAAGCAATTTATTAGTCTTTATTACCCATTGTTTGATTTTTGTTCACATGTATAAATATATTTCCTTCAAAATAATAAGACAAAAACATGTTATACTATCACTAACAAGATACACATTTCAGTTATTAAACAACAATATATAAGTCAATAACAATCCATCAATAAGTTGGCATAGAAATTAATTAAAAGTGATGGATATATTATTGTATAATAGAGGATGATTTGATACTTTGATGGTGTGGGTGAGGAGCAATGGCGTCCACTTAACGTAATAGACTAAAAAGGTCCATGAAGCTAAGAATTATCTCCCATGCTTAAACAATACGCCACAATTGTTGCTTTTCAGCTTTCAATTCACCATTCACATCAAAGTTGAAACAAATTGCAATTATTTCAAGTCTTTTGGATTATAATGAAGGCTTGACAATAGATCAAGTTGATAAAATACATTATAACATAATTATTACACAAAATCATTAATCATATATAATACGAAGAACATTACATAATAATATTCAAAGCAATAATAAAAGTATAGATTATTTATACAAAATTTATAGCTAGCTATTATATAGGTAGAGGGTTTACATTACATAATAGAGCAAGCATTAGGGTTTTCATCACTAAACACTTGAGGAGGCTGATAATTATGATTATAATGATGATCATTATTATAATAATCTATCATGTAGTCATACCTTGCTGATGGCCAATAATAATCATTCGAACTGTTCATCATATTATTCATCATCATCATCTTAACATCTTGATCAATTATTGTGTTATCAATATTATTATTGACCTCCTTATTTTCCTTATTACCATCATCTTTCTTGCTGTTCTCTTGTTCATTACTACTTGCCTTGGTCGTCGTTGTCGTGTCTTGCTTATTATCTTGTTCATTACCAGCCTTGATAATGGACACTTGCTTCCTTGTCTTCTTTTGCACGTACTTAGCCAATGCTTCTGGATCTCCTATCACACCCTTCACAATCACTTGACTCTTGCCTACATCTGTTTCTACGGACTCTACCCCTGTTCATAAATAGATAATATTCATCAGATCATCTCAAATAATCATGCATATTCTAATCTACGTACATGTACGCACAATTATAAATTAAATATGGGGTACTACACTACGTACGTACTAAAAAAAAGTGTGCAAAACATGCATGTACTAATGTACTATATGAATTATTGTATGCATAGTTACATACAAACGTACCTTTAATCTTTCGAATGCGCTTATGTAGGAGCTGCGCACAGGCTTCACAATGCATATGAACTCCTAGCACCACTGTTACTACGGGAGGTGGCTGCCAAATTAATTAAACATGCATATAACATTATTAACCATATGATAAATATATTAACCATCATACATACATATCATACTCGATCAATAGAATTGTTTCAAATCACTATAATTTAATTCAAGTCATGTCAAAAATATCTAGTATAGTTTTGCAAATTGCCAGACAAGGAGATAAGATAAGGTGGTTTTGAATGTAAGTATCATATATGTAGCAATACAAGCTAATCATCTTCAAATATGATCAGATTGAACAAAATTGACTAGCATTAAGGCTTTATTTTGTTCATCTTTATTGCCATATATACACCATACAACTTTATTGTCCTTAAAATTAAAAATCAGTGACATTTTGTTACGTCACTTGTTAGGATAAGATCCTGAGAGAAGCTACAAACCACATGAATATTCAAGATTCTTATAATTTTGAATACTGCCTATAATGGCACTACTAGCTAGAAGAATTAAAATCTGAAAGAAATGAAAATGAATTTTAATTCAATAATGTGAGTCGAGGCTTAATTATGTAAGAGAGCAACAAGGGCATCATGCATGCTAAATCGAATTTACAATATGCATTATAAGGTGCATATATATGTGCTTATGTATAATCGTGCTTTTATTACTCTCAAGCAAGTAGCTATCTTTGATCATAGCTAAGCAACTACTTTGTCATAAAAAATTGTGCAAATATGACACTCCGTATGATCTTTATAATGGATAATAATACTAATCCTTCTAGCTAACGGATGTGTAGATGCATGACTCACATTTTATATATATATGTTGGGCTTGAATTGGAAATATGGTAAGAGCGAGGTTTCAAAAATTGACCTCAACTTGATTGACTCAATTCAAATATAACTTGATCCAAATTTCGAATTGTATGGGCATAATAATGATTTAGCATGAGTCAAACTCAAATTAGACCCGACTTAACCAGACTCATTTGAATCCGACCTATTTACCCAATTAATACCTCAATCTATATAGGTAGCCTTGATGCAATCTTAAATCACCATAAAATTAGTGATAGTGTTTCATACGGATAGATTAGAGAGATATATATATAAGTTGAAGCATACTTAAAGGGGCTTAAAAAAAAGGCCGAAATAAAGATGTACAGAAATGTAAAAGAAAGATGCGTGTGTGGCTTAAATGTATGAAAATGGAAAGAAGCAGTTGGTACGTACGGTGCAATATGGTACGGTGGTTGTGGTGTCGGCAAATTAAATAAATGTGACCCGGAATTGGAATTCATTGTAAAATGTGCGATTTTATGTTATGCGAGTAGCTTTTTCACCTTGAATTCACTCACCGGCCTTTGAATCTTGGCCTTGTATTTTCATGTCAGTTTTAACATATACGACAACTCCACCACATCACATGCTGTTTCAGATTTTACCGTACGTAAAATAAAACAGTGGACTACTACTTTAGTACTTTCTCTTCACCTTATAACTATGTCTGTCCTACCATTTCTATTCGACCAACTATCTCCATCTCTAATACACGCATCATCTTTTAATATTTCATCACACTATATAATTATATATATGCTTAATTATCTTTATGTATCTCTCTCATTTTATGTCAAACAAGATTACAAGACTATAATTAGTTATATATGGATAGATACATTAGGTTATGCTCTTGTTCCCCTTTCGATCCGCCTTATGGTAAGGTGGTTAGTTGATGTATTGTGTAAGTGAATGTCTAATAGTCACATAATGATAAAGAACTAGGCTTTTTCAAAATCAAATGTATATCATCACAATTTAGAAAGACCTTTAGTGATTCGTGATAAAAGTAAAACACGTGAAATGTATAGATTTTGTGAAATCCAACATTTTTTGAATGACAAAAATAAAGTTGCAAGTTGCAACTACTCGGTCACTAGTTTAAAAAGGTCTTGCTCGCTGTAAGTAACATAGGACATCGTAGTATTTTTTTATATCCTCTTTTATTTTAGTGGACATGCATCTATCTATATTCCTACATTAAACACCAAATTAGAACAAAAACATAAAAAGATTAATGCATAATTTAAAGCAAGGAAAATAAAGATGCATAATGTAAAAGGGTAGAGAGTTGCATACTTGATCCTTTTTCGCAGGTTCATCCTTTTGGTCCTTGTTCTCTTCTTCTTTTGGTTTCTTCTCTTCCTGAGGAGGCTTAGGCAAGGGAGAAAGTAATTGAGCGTTTCGGCCAGTTTTGTGGCGAATTCGGTCACATAACTTCAACGGTTCAGCTGTCTTCCCTTTTACCATTACCGTGTTCGTCTTCCTGTCCACTGCTACGTCTTCCACCCCTTTTAATTCATTAATCATAACCAATTCAATAGAATCATTGATATGGATTCAAAATTCTGGATTATGTAAAAGATTTAATGTTACATACAGAGTAATATATTTATTACTCCGTATGATTTAGTATTAAGGAGTACTAATTTACTACTCCATATACAAAGTATAATATAACCTTTACCTCTTGATATAAAGTTTTACGGATATTCATACTACTTATTAATCAATTTTAATTATTAATCGGAACTAATTATCATCCCGCAACATCAAGAAGTTTACAGATGAATACTTGTATAAATTAAGATGCAATGCGCGTAACTTTAAACATTTTTTGTACAAAATTTATAACTAACCATACATACATCTTAAAGGTAAATAATACGGAGTACTAGCTAGTAGCATGGATTATTTAAAAAGCAATAGATAACATACCTAGATAACCTTTAAGAGCTCTAGAAATTTTCTTGGCACAAGCCTCGCATTGACAATGCATGTCAACTTTAATTACAATAATCTCATTGTTATCATCATTATTATCATTATTCTTGGCTTTGTCGGTACTCCCCTTTTCCTTCTTCTCTTCAACCCGACCTTCTCCTCCGACAACAATGTCTTTCTTTTCCTATATATGGATAAATATATAATCTTTAAAGAACAAACAAAGTATAATACAATCGTATACATAATTTAAAAGATTATTAAAGAACGTAGGTACGTACCTCTCCCATGAGATTGGAAATTCGAAGTTTAGTTACTGGTAATCACAACAAGAACGAAGTATGAGCAGCTAAGTTGTAATACTCGTTCCCAACAAGAACGAAGTATGAGCAGCTAAGTCGTAATACTCGTCGTACAAACGTGTTATATGTGTGGTAGATAATTTATGTGGCAACCGAAATAAACCTCGCTAACTTTATTCTTATATAGGCGATATAGCAATTGTTAAGTTGTACGAGTATTGCATTAGTACGTGTATTATTTTTTAATTTGTATTATCATTTTTGTGGTGAGAAGTTGAAGGAAAAAATATAGTCGAAAGTATTTATTGCATGTTGTGCTCAAACAACCAAAATCAGCCATTGCGTCACCAAGTCTTTTCGAGAGCACCACATAGATAGAGGTAACTATTAACCTTTTTCTTTTTCCTTTTTTCTTTTTTTTGGGTGTATGTGTATCTAAAGAAACTACTAGTAGTGGTACCTATGTTTTTTCCTTTTTCTGTTTTTAAGGTAAAGGGGTCCATTTTGGAGGAGAGGGGATAAGTTTAGACACGATGAGAATCAAACCTATAGTTGGGTTTTACACTATCAAAGGGTTTTGTGTTTGGAAGTTGGAATTGTCTTGATTATATATATATATATATATATATATATATATATATATATATATATATATATATATATATATATATATACACATATACATATATATATACATATACATATATATATATATACATATACATATATATATATACATATACATATATATATACATATACATATATATATATATATATATATATATATATATATATATATTGCAAATTGTGCTTACAAATAATGGTGTATTGACATTATACTACTACATATATACTCAAGAAAAAAAAAATCTTATAATAAATGAATTATATATTGTGAATAGTGCGTATCCAATAATTGTATATTTTATGTGTACCACTCCAACTCGTCTCATAATTAGTATTGATGCTACTAAACAAGGGATTATTGATTGACACCTTAATTAGAAATTCTTAGAGAAACTAAAAGATTCTTAGAGATTTTCATATTCTTTCGAACATATGCTTATTTTTTTTGGTGTTTAGAGAGCCATAAGGGCGGGTGATGAGAATTGATACCAGGATCTTCTGGAATCGGGAGGGACGCTCTAACCACTTCAGTTATGTGGTTTGGTTAAGTCATTTAGCTTTTTACATATTTCAGTTTGATGTAATTCAGTTCATTACAGATTCATTCAATGCAAAATAATACTGTAAAACTTTATTAATGCTTATGGGTGTATTTTATTGATTAGGATCCCTACCTTTTGAGATATGAAGCGAAGTTTCTTTTAGGATACACAGGAAAATTCAAACTTTTAACTTATAAACCAAAGTGGCAAAACTGATTGGTGTTAGATACCACACACAAAGTTGCACAATTTCACTAAACTTTGAAATTAACTACAATATATGTACAACTCAAAAACACAATTATTGAACAAGTGTTTTGAAATCTTGTAATCTTGTACCATCATTGAAAGACTTGTTTGCTACATAAAAATATAGCTGACATCAACGTTGTCAATTAGAGTTGTTAGTATCATCTTATCTCGAGTTATCTTCTTTGTTCGAATAACAAAGTACCTTAGACCTTAGCACACATAAGATAGAGAAGAATATCAGAAATTTAATGGAGCCCATGGGCTGATATCACGATAGCTCAATTTATGGTGAGGGCTTTTTATTTAATTTCTGTTTTCATAATTTTGTAAAAATATTTGTGAGGATCTTTGGAAGAATATAAATACTAGTTTGGGGACCAAAAACTAGCACTTAACCTTATCAAAAGGATAGAAACTTTGGAAATACTGTTAGGATATAATTATGTTGTGAGATATATTTTGTGAATATATTTGTATATATCTTGTTAGGAGTTTTTGGCATGTTAGATTAAGGTTGTAAGCCTATATATACGTGTTTAATGGTAAAGGCTCATTAAGCCGTTTTCTCTTAAATTTCTTGTGAGTTTAACATGGTATCAAGAGCCCTCTAATTTATAAATTTTTTTACGTTCTTCCCTGCTTCCATTTTCTTTGTGTATTCTTTGTGTGTAAGTCAATTAGTTTCGGTGTGATGACTGGTGGTGAAATTCCGCCTCCGCCTCCTAAGGGTCCTCGTTATGAGCCTTTAATTTTTCTGCGTATTACCTTCATCCGAGTGAAGGTACGGGTGCGGTTATCAGCCCTATTATGTTGAAGGGGATAATTATGAGGAGTGGTCTCGTTCTTTGCGTAATAATCTTCATGCTAAGAACAAGTTTGGTTTTATTGATGGGACTATTGCCTTGCCGGATAAAACTTCTCCAAATTATGATCAATGGGGTATTGTTACTCTATGCTCGTTGCTTGGATTGTGAATACCTTGGATGTTTCGGTGCGTTCTACTGTTCGTTTTCAGACCATGTCAAATCCTTGTGGGATGATCTACGTGATAGATATTCTCTTGGCAATGGTCCTCGTATTCTTGAGTTAAAGGCGCAGATCGTTGATTGCAAGCAACGTGGAAGGTCGGTAGCTGTTTATTTTGGTGAATTGCGTAGGTTGCAGGATGAATTGGCTAGCTATTGTAAAATTCCTAAGTGTTCTTGTATTGCTGCCCCGGAGTATGCGAAGATCATTGAGAGTGAGTTGCTTCATCAATTTTGTATTGGTTTAGATAGATCCGAAAAAAATAAGTAGTGTTATGTCGACTTTGCTAATGATGGATCATGTTCCCTCACTCAATGTGGCATATGCCAAGGTTGTCTCTGATGAACGCAAGCAAACTGTCTCGAATGTACATGATAATCTTCCGGAAAGTGCTGTTGGGTTTGCTGCGTCTGGTTCGGCTCAGGGTCGGACAAATTGGTCGAGTGGTGGAGATGTTCGTATGTGTGGCCGTTGTGGTAAAAAGGGGCATGTGAAGGAGGAGTGTTTCGACTTACATGGCTGGTCCGATTCCTTCAATTCTGCTGGGCGCGATGGTCAGCGCAGTGGCAGGTCTGGCCGTGGGGGTGGCCACGGCAGCCGTGGTGGTCATACGACAGATTCTGGTGGCCGTGGTTTTGCTGCGAATGTGAGTGGTTCTCAACAGTCAAGTGCGCAAGATATTAATGACAATGATCGTGGCTCGGCTCCTACTTTGACTGATGAACAGTGGCAGCAATTTATAAGTGCAATTAAAAGTGCAAAGCCCACTAATTTTTCTTCTGATCAGACTTTTCATGGTATGTATAGTTCGAAAGAGTGGATAATTGATACCGGAGTATCAAATCATATGTCGGGTGATTTGAATTTATTTTTCGATTAGTGTGATATTTTATCTCCTGTTGGTTTGCCTAACGGAATAAGTACTACGGCCACTAAAGAAGGAAAAATAAAATTAAATGATGGTTTAATTTTAGAAGATGTTTTATTTGTTCCGAAATTAAAATGTAACTTGATGTCAGTGTCTCAATTATTAGACAAACAACATTTTATTGTTCTTTTCACTAACAAGATATGTACTATTCAGGACCGCACTTTGGAGAACTTGATTGGAGCGGGGGTGCAGTATAATGGGGTCTATCTCTTCCGGCCGGTTCGTGCTCGTAACTTTCAAACAAATTCAGTAGCAGTTCCAGATGCAAGTATGTTATGGCATAGGCGTTTAGGTCATCCTTCGATGAAAGTTGTTTTATCTTTACCTGGAGTAGTTAGTAGTAGTAAGAATAAAAAGTGTGGTGTGTTTGATTGTCATATTTGTTTTATGGGTAAAGAGCCCCGTAACTCTTTTCCTTTAAGTATGAATAAAGCATCTGGTTTATTTGATTTGATACATTGTGATATTTGGGGTCCAAGTAGAGTATCATCTAGTGTAATGCTAAATATTTCCTTACTATCGTTGACGATTTTTCTTGTGCTACTTGGGTTTATTTGATGGTTGGAAAATATGAAGTAGGGAAATTAATTCGTGACTTTTATGCTTTAATCAAAACTCAATTTAATAAAAAGATTAAAGTGTTACGAAGTGATAATGGACAAGAGTTCTTGAGTTTGAAACCTTTCTTTGACAAAAAAGGCATAGTACATCAAACATCGTGTGTAGATATCGCCCAACAAAATTGTCGTGTTGAAAGGAAACATAAGCATATTCTAAATGTTGCTCGGGCTTTACGTTTTCAAGCTAAATTACCTAAGTATTTTTGAGGAGAATGTGTTTTGGCTGCGGTTCATCTTATTAATTTGACTTCGACTCCTATTTTAAAGGGCAAGACGCTTCATGAATGTTTGTTTGGTACATCTCCCTTATATGACGATGTGCGTGTTTTTAGTTGTTTGAGCTATGTGGTGAATAATTCTCGTACTAAGGATAAGTTTGACTCTAAGTCTAGGAGGTGTATTTTTGTTGGTTATCCATATGGTAAAAAAGGTTAGTGGTTTTATGATTTGGAGTCTAAGGAATTTATTATAAGTCGTGATGTCAAATTTGTTGAAGACAAATTTCCTTTTATTGAGCAATTTGATGAGTTAGAAAAGGTGCAGTGGGAAAATTATTTTAGTCAGGTTCGTTTATGGGATGATGAAGATTATGTTAGTGATTTGCATGCCTTTTCACCTACTGCACATGATGGTAGTAGTGCTTGTGATGTGGATTTAATGCATGAGTTGCATGCTACTGTTGAATCACCTAAAGTCAGTGAGGGTACTCAAACTTTGCATGTGCCTAGTGATGTTTCTTTTGGTGATGATATTGCTATTGCCTCCCTGACTCAAGGGGGAGTACGGGTGCTCATAATGATGTGGCAGGGGGTATTACTCCCAATAATGGTGAAGTGTTGAGTCGTGGTCATCGTGTCAAAATTCCTTCCTCAAAGCTCCGTGGTTATGTGACTAATATAGTTCTTCGTTAAGCAATAGACCCCACTTCATCAACAACTACTGCACCCGCTTCTCAATCACGTTCTTCAGGTAAATAATTTGATATAGCTTGTTATGTTTATTATAACAATTTTTCTATGAGACACAAGTGTTTTCTGACAGCAGTTACGAAGGGTAAAGAGCCTTCCTTGTTTAGGGTAGCTGTGAAACATGAAGGGTGACGTAAGGCGATGAAAGAAGAAATTGATGCTCTTGAACGAAGTGGCACGTGGACATTGGAGGACTTACCTCCGGGTAAGAAGGCTATTGGTAGTGGTTGGGTGTATAAAATTACATATACTTCTACAGGTGAAGTAGAGCGACTTAAAGGTCGTCTTGTTGTGTATGGTAATCGACAGGTTGCAGGTGTTGATTATAATGAGACTTTTGCCCCTGTGGCAAAAATGGGGACTGTTAGACTTTTTCTTTCCGTTGCAGCTTCTTTAAATTGGGAGTTGCATCAAATGCATGTTCATAATGCCTTTCTTCATGGTGATTTGGAGGAGGAAGTATATATGCAGTTACCTCCGGGTTATAATTGTCCTACTCCAGGGAAAGTTTGTAGGTTTCGTAAGTCTCTATATGGTCTGAAACAGGCTCCTCGACAGTGGTTTTCTAAATTGTCTAAAGCCTTGAAATCTTATGGTTTCAAGCAATCATATGAAGATTATTCTTTGTTCAATTATATTCAGGGTACGGTCTCCCTTCATGTTCTTTTGTACGTTGATAATCTTATTATTGCTGGTTTCGTCTCATGATACAATTATTCATTTAAAAAAATATTTGAGTACTTGCTTTCATATGAAATACCTTGGTGTGTTGAAGTATTTTTTGGGTATTGAAGTTACTCGTGGTTCGGAAAGTATATTTTTGTCTCACCGTAAATATGATTTAGATGTGTAATCTGAGGTAGAAATGTTAGGTTGTAAGCCTATTGATACTCCTATGGAGCAGAACCATCGTCTTGCATATGCCGAGGGGGAGCCATTCTCTCAACCTGATCAGTATCGTCGCTTAGTTGGGCGACTTGTTTATTTATCTGTAACTCGTCCAGAGTTGAGTTACTTTGTTCATACTCTTGCACGGTTTTTGAGTAACCGACAGGTGCAACATTGGGATGCGGCAATCAGGGTACTTCTCTGTATCAAAGGTAGTCCTGGTCAGGGTATATTGTTACGTCCTATGAAGGACATGTGTTTGACGGCTTTCTGTGATAGTGATTGGGCAGCGTGCCCTTTGACTCGTTGTTCTTTGTCTAGTTATAAGGTTTTTCTTGGTCGTTCCCCTGTCTCGTGGAAGACTAAGAAACAACCGATAGTATCTCGTTCTTCAGCTGAAGCTGAGTATCATGCTATGGCAGTTACAACTTGTGAATTAAAGTGGTTGAAATCTTTGTTGTCCTCTCTTGGTATTTTGCATCCCAAGCCTATGAAGTTGTATTGTGACAGTCAATCTGCTCTCCATATTGCTAAAAATCCTGTTTTTCATGATCGTACTAAGCATATAGAGGCAGGTTGTCACTTTGTTCGTGATGAGTTGGTGAATGGTAATCTAGCTACTGCGTATGTTCCTACAGGTCATCAGTTAGCAGATATTTTGATGAAGGCACTTGGGAAACGACAGTTTGGTTTTCTTCTTAACAAGTTGGGCATTCGTGATTTACATGCTCCAACTTGATGGGGAGTGTTAGGATATAATTATGTTGTGAGTTATATTTTGTGAATATATTTGTATATATCTTGTTAGGAGTTTTTGACATGTTAGGTTAATGTTGTAAGCCTATTTATGTGTGTTTAATGGTAAAGGCTCATTAAGCCGTTTTCTCCTAAATTTCTTGTGAGTTCAACAAATACAACGATGAAGTTGTGCTAAGAAAAGGAAAGCCACCTCTTGATTTTTCTTGTTGTCCTCAAGTATACCAAATTGATACTTAGCCACAGACCATTAATCTCACATTTCTCCGTCACTAATTAATTAGATCTAAAAGTGCGTGATGCGTGTTTCATATTTCAAAAAAAACACATACTATTTAGTCTGTTGAGAACGTTACATTTTAAGAGAGTCATATAAAAATATAGACGTATTTAACTATTTTAAGCGGACACTAAACATCTCAAAAATTAGAGTATAATAATTACGAAGAATGTCACAATTTTATAATAATTCTGTTTTGGAAAAAGTTTGTTGCCAATCATTAGTATATCCCTTTTTTCATATATGTATGTAACTTTTAGCAACGCCTACCAGAATTGGTTTTACAACCTTCTACGCTACATTATATTCTAGAATAACAATTACAAGCTTCTAATAGAAATGAAAAGATAGAACAATAATTGCAATAAAATTATACAGGAAAAATTCACAAGAATAATCTGACCTTTTACATATCTTTTCAAATTAGTCCCAACTATTAAAAATCTGGGAATAATCAAACTTTTAGGTTGGATCTTCTCAAAAGAGTCCTATGTTTTTTTTTACCTGATATAGGCAATGGATTGTCCTATATATGTGGCATTAACAGTTGGTAAGGTTATTAATTTTCTTGTATATGCTCTTAGAATAACATCAACCACCCCCATTAACCATTGTCATCATCATTGATACCAGATGTGAATTTTAACCTACAAGTGCCATCACAACATCCATTCAATTGTGCGTCCAAATCGTGGATTAAAGTTAAATGGGTGCTCGTTATAAGCGCACCAATACTCAATGAATGTCATGAATTGTTGTAAGAATTCTGAAATTAAAAAACTAAAATAAAATTGGGAAGTTAATAGGATTTAAGGATTAAGAGTTTGGAGGCTTGTCATTAAAAGTTGCAAAATTGACTGTGCAATCATATAAAAGACTAGTTTTGTGTCTGGGCGATACCCAGATGATTGATAAAATTTTAAGATAACTTTTTGGATTGAAGTTAAATACGATCCTAGAATCCTTTTGATAATACAGGATATTTACACATAAGATATCATATTTCTTATTTATATAATAGTGTACTTTTTGTAGTTTTGTTTGTAAATAGATATCTATGTTATTATTGACTTGAAAGTGTTTTTATTGAATTTAAATTATTTCTAATGAGCTGAAAGTATTTTTACCATACTAAACTTATTTTTAAAACGAATTTTATGATGGAAATATAACTAAGTTATAGGATTTTTATTAAAAGTTATGATTAACTTTGTACATATATGAAATATTAGAAGTATATCGATAATAAAATTCTATACAATATTTTTATCTTACAAAATCTATCAAAATTTTTCTTACTTAGCATCATACGTGTCACAATAATACCTATTTGTCGCCTACGTGGCACGACACTTGGCGAAAATCTGGAATGCCAAGTGTCGTTGTCTCGTGGCCTGGATGTGAGACCAGCTTTATTTATTAATGACTAGTTTTGTGCTCGGACGATGCCCGGATTGTTCTAAACTTTTGATAATGTAAAATATTTAGACATACGATATTATATCGCTTATTTATATAATAGTGTACTTTTTGTAATTTTATTTGTAAATAAACATCTATGTTATTATTAACTTGATATTTTTTTATTGCACTTAAATATTTCAAATTTTATATAAATTAACTTGATATAAATGGATCTCATTTTAAAGAATTTTTTAAAACGAATTTTATGGTGGAAATAGTACTGAGTTATAAGATATTTATTAAAAGTTATAACTAATTTTGTATATATGAAATATTAGAAGTATATTAATAATAAAACACTATACAACATTTTATCCTAAAAAATTATCCAAAATTCGCTTACTTAGCATCCTATGTGTCACAATAATACTTATTTGTCGCCTACGTGGCTCGACACTTAGCGAAAAATTGGAATGCCAAGTGTCGTTGTCTCGTTGCCTGGCTACGAAACCGACTTTATATATTAGTGATATGATATAAATATGGCTGGGCCTGATATCAGATATTGGGTCGGGTCAGCCGGGGTTGATAGATGAAGCTTGATTTTGTAGCCAGGTTGAGCATAACTCAACAAACAAGTTGGACTACTGTACCAAGAAATAAAACTATGGTCCAAACCCAACCATTTTGGGCCAAGCCCAATTAATCAGCTCTTGCTGGACTATTACAATTGAACTATCCAAGCCCCTATTATATATAGTTACTTCGTACTCTCTTCGTCTGTTTTTTTTCCCCATTTGACTTTTCACGGTTTTTTTTTCCATTTGACTTTTCACGGTTTTCAAACGCATCTTACGCGTCCTAAAGTGAATATATTTTTATGTGTGTAAAATTATAAAAACTTGATATTAACAAAACATGAAATGAGACAAATCCAACAAGATTTCCCATGACTATATTATCTCCTATGATTCAATGACAATTAGTGGTTAAAGTTTCAAAAGTTTCACCCATAGAATATGGGTCAAAAATTTAGGGACAGAGAAAAAAAATGTTATAGGATGAGTCACTATTTATAATAATGGACCTTTTTTTTAAATACCTTATTCCATATTTATGAGGTATTTTTTTATTTCTATATACGAGTAACTTGATCTGTATATACTTTATCCATTTTTTCAAAAATAATGAATCAATTAGTACTCATATCATTACAACAAATATTGCAATATTATTCTATTTGCACATGTTTTCTCTTTATCTCACTCCTCATTACATGGGTTTGTATCCTTATTTTCCCTTTCTTTTCAACTTTTTATTTATGCCTCCCCCCCCCCCCCCCACACACATTACAATATCAAGGCATTTAAGGGAACAAAGATGTTTGGGTCCAATTTATTTCAATTGGGCTGGTCCATAAATGATTTAATTACAAAGCCCAAAGCAAGGTTCAACTCTCCAAATAATTGCCAAGTCAGTCAAGGCCCAGTCAACGTGGCAAGCCCACTTGATTTAAGGTCCATTTATCTATTTGAGCAAAGGTATAAAATCCTTCAATGTTCTTTCTCTACATTCATTCAATTCAAGCCTCAGCAATTAATACTCCTGAATAACTTTCTCTCTCTAAACATTGTATTGACTTCGGCATCAGAGGGGCCTTTCCTCGGCAACACCCCTGAGGCCAGTTTACGTGTGTTTGCTGTTCAGGAAACCCTCGGCCCAGTCATCACTTAGACCGAGACCAATCTTCAACCCACAGAAAAGGACCTTGCCGAAGGTCTTATTACTTTTACCCGAAACAATTTGGCGTCGTTTACGGGGAAAAACATTCAAAAGTAAGCCAGAAATCAACCAATCTTAGCAAAAATGACTAAGAGTGGTAAGAGTGCTAAGAGTACTAAAAAGAACGACTCTTCCTCTTCGAGGAAAAGTCCATTTCCGGTGATAAGGAATCCACTTGCTCCACCATCACCAGAACCTTCTTCTTCTTCTTTGAAAGCTCCCTCTTCCCTGGAAAAGGCAGCGCCAGAGAGGTCACCATCCCATCATACTCGCCAGCCGACCAGCTCATATCGGCCGAGTCAGTCCAATGCTAAGAGTTCCCCTCGAAGTTTCCATTCTCGGTCTCAGCCGAGAACAACTCCTCAAACGGGGCCCTCTACGGAGAAAGTGGCACGAGCCGTCGCGGTCTTCATGGACCTCATGAAGGCCCAAGAAGGAAACTTTCCACCATCCCGTGACCGCTCGCCTCTTCCCCCAAGAAACTTGAGAAGGAGAACCGGCCAAGAGGAAAATGGACGAGCTCCATCCTTCAAGGAACTCGGGGACAAATGGCAGGAGGACACTTAGAAGACTGAACAGGAGAGGAAAAAGAACCCTTAATTCTTCGAAAATTCCGAAACCCAAGACTCCCGAAGCTACAAAAGCAGCAACACCACCTCCGCGTGGCAAGAGTCTGCTCGCCGAAATGTTCACGAACGTCTCGGCTCAAGGGAGGTGAGCATGCATAGTCGCCTCACCTACCCCGAGGGAATTAAGCCTTGTCTCGAATCGTACCAGCCGAGGATGAAAACCACTTCAACCTCTTTGAGAGGGAGGAGCGAGGTCTCGTCGGCTAGACATAAGGGAAAGGTCGTGATGGTTCCCACCACTCACCCTTCCAAAGCTGGATTTTGGAAGAGCATGTCCCGACGGTGAAAATCCCGACACACATAACTTATTACGGTACTTCAGATCCGAAGGACCACATTTCCTCTTACGAGGGGCACATGTATCTAAACCCCAGGTCCGAAGTGACCTGGTGTAAATATTTCCTGACCACTCTTAAAGGTGTTGCACAAGCGTGGATCACCAAGGGAGTAAAGGAAGGCTCGATAACCGGTTGGAAAGACCTTTCCAACAAGTTCAAGAGCAAGTTTTCTACGGCAAACCGTCGAGAGAAGACAACTGTAGAACTTATGAGTCTGCAGCAAAGGGAGGACGAGAGCCTCCGAGACCATCTGACTCGCTTCAGCAACGAGTCGTCTAGAATTACAAGTCTAGACCAAGGGCTAGCCGTTTTCGCATTGCAAAACAGGCTACAAGCTGGAAAGTTCCTTGACTTCATGGTCATGCATACCCCGCAGACCTTGGAGGAAGCTCTGGATGCCTCTGATAAATACATCCGAGCCGATGAATGGAACACAACCAAATCCCAGTCTCAATCCGGGGCTGGGAAGACAAAGGGATAGCAGTCCGAAAGCCAAAGCTAGAGGAAAGGGAAGGCGAAAGCCTCAGAACCATCCTCGGCTACCGAGCTG